TTTGGTTGGAAATTCCACCACTGTTCTTGAAATTGAGTTTCTCTTGAATGCGAGGGGCTCGTTTGGAAATACCTGGATGTTTTGGATTTAAAAGAAATTAAAAATATTTGCTAAATACCTGGATGTTTTGAATTTAAAAAAATATATATTATAATGTTTGCAACATTATATGCTAATCATTCTCTTAAACAGGTTTAAGTTTCTAAACAAGCCTCCACGCCACTAATCCCGGTATGGGGGCGTGACATTAATGTGTATTTTTAAAGGCCGGAATCCGTAAATCCGTGAGTTTAATCTGCAAAATCCCATAGATTTTGGATTGGATTGGATCCAATCTGAAAAGGGTTTGGATCAAACACGGATTGAGATTTTTCCAATCCGCAATTCTAGATCGGATTGCGGATTGGCCTTCAATCCACGGATTGGGATTTGTGAAGATCCCTACATACTAATACAAGCTCAAAAATCCCCTCTTTTGGGTGGTTACAATCTCTTGGCTTTATGGTTTATTAGAGAACTTTCAATCACCATTACTTTGGTGGAGTTTCTCTGGAATGAGTTTCTAGGCGCTCTCCCCAAATGGTCAAGCTTTGGAAAGCTCTGGAAACACCCCACCAAGGCTTAAAACACTTAAAGTCCATTCCCTCCGACCGACGTAGTGTACCCTATGCAATTTCATGGCCAACCCCTTCAAACACATGAATATGGCTTTAATATACATTTAGAGCCTTGGAAAGCCTTTGAAAACATCCCACCATGGTCTAAAACACCTAACAACCACATAAATCTTCTTTTCTACTAGCCGAAAAACATGCTGCCACCGACCTACAAGACAAACTTGGCAATCTCATTTGGTTGATCCTTGTAAAGAAAATGCATGTGGCTTTATCATTCCATATTCGGGAACCTCCCTCCACCAACATTATCCAAAATCACACAAAAACCACCCTTTTTTCACTTCGTCAGTCGCGCTTCTCCCGATGTGAACCTAATCTCACATCATATGGCTGACCCTTGCAAACAAATGGATTTGGTATCATTATTCCAAATTTGGGGATTTTCTCCATAAACCAGTTACGTTCCTCTCCCACACCGTCCGCTCGCATAGAGGTCTTCATAAAAAACTTGCTACTATCTCGAAGGTGGAATCACAACGCGTGACGCCCTCGGATATTGTTGTCCTCGGGGTCACCTAGGTTTAGCCTGACCCAGCCGGGGCCAACATCATTACTTCGGCCACCTTCGATGTAAAAAATCACATTTAGAAGCTCATCGGCCCCTGCACCCAATGTAGTGCCAGACTACGACCGACGCACCATCAGGCCACTACCGACGCAAATACAATGTGGACCAACCGAATGAGGCCACGAGAGCTGCACCCTCTACGTTGATGGCCCCCGCCAAAAGAGCCCAACAAGCTTTTTATTTTTTATTTTTTTGTGAATGTATTTTTACATTTTAATTCTTTGTGTATTTTTTAAAAATATATTTTTTCTCACTTTATTCATATAGAAGTATTTTTTTCGCATTTGTTCCTATTTTATTTTTTGTTAATGGTTAAAATAATTTCTTCAAATGTGTCTCTATAACTTAATTGGCTTCCATGTAATTCTTATCATATCAAAGGTTGTCTTTACACATATTCATTTTTAAAATAAATTTAAAAATCCTTAAATGGTTGTACCAATAAATTTCTCATTAGTGGGTAAATAATAAACTCTTCAAGTGTTTCTAACACGACAATACGTGTGTTGCCTACAATGCTATACAAGTATACGTGTCGCAATCAAGTAATATATGTGAACAAAAGTATCGTTCCCCCAGAGATTGAATCCCTAATAATATAGTGTAGAAATCATGCAAGCACCAAATTAAGTAAGAGATTTGACTAAGCAAAAGCTCACTAAAATGACGTAAAGAAATGGGTAAAATATAAATGCAAGCAAAGGGTGACAAAAAAAAAAAAAGAATGCAACTACGAATTATAAATCAACGATTTAATCAAGCTAGGATTACTAATTTCCCATCAGTTGTAAGTCTGACAGAAAATGTTGTAGGAATTGCTATAACATAATTACTCCTATTAAATGAAACTTAATTTTTTTTTTTTTTTGCATAAAATTCTTCTGAATTAATTATGACTAAAAATTCTTTAAACCATTTCCAGCATATTCCTATGTGAATCTAGTTCTTAGAATGCAAATCTCAGTACTGGTTTCAATGGGTTATGCAAGATGAACAATATATTCCTATATCATTCACAAATCAACAAACTTAAACAAGAATATTGAACTTGCATTATCCATGTTAGATCCAACTCAAATTAATCTTTCCAGTATTAATCTCAGTCTAGAATCCTATAATTGATGGCCAATCAAAAATAGAAATATGCAATCAACACACACATGAACAGGAATAAAATCACTAAACATTCTACAAGCTAGCTGTCATTCTTACAAATTTAGTTCCATCAACAATCCTAGCTAAGAATAACTTAGCTCATAGTTAAATTTACAAAAACCAACTTCTCAATATACTTCATTGTTCAACAAAAATCACAATTCTAAAGAGAAATCAAAAGACGACAGAGAAGTCGAAGAAATTTCAGCTGGTTTAGAACTTGAATCCTTTGTCTCCTCCTTTTTCTTCTTCGAACAAGCCTCCACGGTGATGAGAGATAAAAAATCTCTCCTTGAGTATTTTCCTTTTCTTCTCCCTTTTTGTTCTATATTATTCCAATTTTAGCTTTCTGCTTCTTTTTCTCCCCAGTACTTGTTCTCTTAGGTCTTCAATTGGCACTTTCTCTATATAGATGTACTCTTCTTTAGGGCACAAAAAGGATGTTGATGTGTCACTAGGTGAAAGGTTTGGGCCAAAATGACCGTGCACAGCATTCTCCCTTGTGTACTTTTATTTTTTTTCCTTCAAAGTGACGCGTGCTGATGTCATCCCCAAATCTGTCTGCTATCAATTTCCTACAGCAAAATGCTACAATATTTTTCTTCAAAATTCCTTCAATTACACCACCAGACCTTAGAACACAACTCAGCCCTTTTTGATTCAATTCTCTTGAAAATTACCTCAGAGTTATCACACATACTGATCTTAGCATGATGAATCACAAGAATCAAAAATTAAAAATAAAACACAAAAAATGAACAAACTTACCCTTGGTTAAGCCAACTTTAAGCTTAAAAATACCTAATATAACTCTAATTAGAGTTATCACACCCCAAAACTTAAAGCCAACAATGTCCCTACCGTAACAAATGCACAAAATATCCAAACGGAAATACATCAACTCACGCAAAAAGTATCCAAGTAAACAACTAGTCTAAGAACAAAGAAAACGTCCCTGAAGTCCGAGAATGTTGCAATTAACCTCTCCATTTCCAGTTCATGGAGCTTCTAAAAGTTGACTTTCTTGTTGGTGGTGCTGACACTGTCGACTTACCCTTGCCTCGGCCTGTGCTAGAGGCAACAATGTCAACCTCATGATGCTCATCGCCGAAATGGCTCGAAGGTACCACCTCAGTCTCTTTGTCTCTTTCAGGCTCAGAATCATCAAAGGATGAGTCACACAAATGTTGCGGGAACTTCAGAAATGAGTGAAACCTTTTAGAGTTAGTTTGGAAGTGCTTTTGCAAAGCCAAATCCCCCTCTTGCTCATATTTTGTTTGTTTAAGTTCTTAAACAGAAACAAACAAAATAATTGATATATACAAACCATGTTTATAAGAGTCTAAAGAAAAACAGTTCTTACACGATAACTGTCAGCATTATTGAGTTAAAAAAAATATAGTAACTTAACAAAGCGGCTTTTTGAAAAGCAAATTAAATAATAATACTTAAAAATAGAAATAATTATTTAAACTCACTTAATTAGAATAAGAGAATTAGGCAGAATAATTATGGTAACTCAATACTTAATGAACTATAAATTAGGAATGAGAAATACAAGTACAAAAAAAATGACATAAAAAGAATACCTTAAACTGAGAAATACAAGTACATAAAAAATGATATAATTAGGAACAAGCCCAGCCCAAACCGAGCATCAACTCAGCCCCTTCGCAACCCTAACCCCATCCGTCGCCCGCCCAGCCCCAAACCCAGCCCCGCCGCCAAACTTCAGTGACCCAAACAGATTAACATTTCCAGATTTTCTACTGATTTTTTAGATTTAATAATTTCTAAGTCTGGGTTTTGGTGAGAAAGAAGATGAGAGTAACAATTTGTTCTGAGCTTGTTGAAAGAACCGTGGATTTTTTTTTTTAGGGTTCTTGGTGTTCTGATGTTATTGGGTTTCTTAGTGTTCTTGGACTTCATTTTGATTTTTTTGAGTAGATCTGATTAATCTGATTTTGTTTTAGATTTGTATCTGTTTTGTGCGTTGTGCTTTAGATTCATTTGTATTCTAAAGATTTGTTGTAGAGAGAGAAAGAAGAAAGGGATTGAGAGATTGTATTTTAGTTTTTTTATTGTTTTTAATACATTTAATTTTTTTTCTAAATTTATTATTTCTATTAGAATTAATAAAAATGATAAAACTCAAAAAATATTTCAAAGTACTAAAAAAGATTTATCAAAACATCATATATTAAAAATTATTAAAAATATACAGTACGAGAAGATAATTATGTAAAACGCATGTACTAATATAAAATTTCACAAAAAAAAAGAAAAAAAGAGAAAAACATTCCTTGTGCATTTATAAAACAGCGCATGCCGTCATCGATTATAAATGGTCACTGCGAGTCATTACGACACGTGAGTTTGACGTGTCACCAGTATCAATTAAATTCTCCCGATAGGTCCCACTAAACACAAAAACATGAACAGGTAAATGAGGAAGGATTCTCATTTTCAAATTTCCTTGTAAAAAAAAAAAAACTCTATTATATTTTATAGTTCGTTTAATTTCTCTAATTTAAATTTTATTAAGTAAAAAGATGCTGAAAACACACCCAACTAAACAACTAAACGGACATTAGCTCCTCGTCAATCAACACGATATAAGTCTCGCTGGAAGCACCCACTTTAGAAATCAAAATTCAGTCAGAATTATTATCCGTATACATATATATTTTTTTCTATAAGTGATAGGCAAGAGAAATGTGGCGAAGGTGCTTCTCCAGCAGCAGCGGCAGCAGCGGCAGCAGCTCCGACGCCGCTAGCGCGTTGAAGGATCGGAAATGGGACGCGCTGGTCATCGGCGGCGGCCACAATGGCCTAACCGCAGCCGCGTACCTAGCACGCGCCGGCATCTCCATCGCCGTCCTCGAACGCCGCCACGTCATCGGCGGCGCCGCCGCGCCCGAGGAGACCATTCCTGGCTTCCAGTT